TTCAATCGCTCCGTCAAACCATGTCCTCAAAAAATGTCTAAAATCTGCCCTGTGCCCATTGACCTTTGACTTGTGACCTCCAATTTCGGCACAGTGATGGCTTTTCCTACCATGATGCTATACACCAACTATCACGAGCCTAGGTCGAGCCCTTTAGATTTGTGCCGCAATTCTGCATTTCCTCACTATACCTTAAGTTAAGGAGTGAATGTTCCCCCTTCTTTTACACCTCTTGACCTTTGACCCCCAGCTTCGACATCCCAACTCGTTTTCGGATTACCCCCCCACGTCCCGAATACCGGGACCGTACGTCGAGCGGTTAAGATTTGTGCCCAACTGTTGACGGACGAACGGACGCACGGACGGACGGACGATCATGCGATTCTACAAGCTGCATCTGACTATGTCAGATGAGCTAAAAATAAAATAATTAAAATAACTATTTTAAATTAATCAAATAATTAATAATTATTTTAAGTTAATAAAATAATTAGAATCATTATTATTAGTTATAATGTCGCTAATGACAGCATCTCCATCAGCCCAAGAAACATCGGTTCTGAATTCGTCGCTAAAAAAACCTTGGTAATATTGTGAAAATACTAGGCATGTCTCGCGGCAAAAAAAACACGGTTGTTGTGACGTCACCGAGTAGTGTGTCCTGCGTCAATGTATAAAACGCAGTCATATGTACATAACGCTCATGTACGTATATATTAATGTATTCAGAATTGTAATGTAATATGTAATATACATAATGTAAAATACATAATATCAAGAGATAATATACATAACATAATTTATATAATATAATATACATAATATATACATAATATAATATACATTCACATACATGCACAGTAAATTTAGTATACCAAATTAAAACACAGAAAAAAGTAAATTTAGTACATCAGTGTATAAAAAGCTCACAGCGACGTCGGCATCGTTAATAAATAATAAATCTCAAACCGACAATTAAAAAAAAACCCCCCCCGACTCTCTCAAATCACAACAGAAATATCGCGTCGATGTCCGTGAAGCTCGGCCTCCGTTTCAACGGCGACGCACACGTGCTGCCATCTATCGGCACCACGGCGCGGCGTCCGGGACCGAGTTCCGCTGCGGCATCGCCAGGTGGCGCCACCGAGCAGCGAGGAGTGCGACTCTTCGCGCGTGCGACAGCATCCGCATCTCTCTCCGCCGGGGTTTCGCGAATCTCCGTCGTCGCCGCCCTTCTTTCTCCGTCGTGCGTTGCAGTGGGAGGTCTCTCTCCTCTCTCGCAGCACGGCTTCTCCCCCGCCTCCCCCTCAGCATGCGTAGCACTCCTCTTTCCTCCCTCACGCCACGGCTTCTCCCCCGCCTCCCTCTCCACGTGCGTAGCACTCCTCTTTCCTCCCGCACCCGATCCCCCCGGAACCTTCCCCGCGCTCTCTCCAGGATTTCGGGATCCTCCTCCTTCATCTCCGCTGTTAAAGCCTTCTATTTCGACATTGTCGTCGTCGTCGTCGCTGTAGAACAGCGCCCTCTGTGTCCGCCTCGCGGCGACGGGACGATGGCGCGGCCTGGCGGGGTGCACAGGGGGAGCCACCTGCGCTTCTGCGTTCGAGGAAAGAAATTGGAATGTTTGATTAGATTGACGAACATGGATGGAAAGAACACAGTGGAATTCAAGCGTACGACTGGCCTCTCAAACTATAATATTGTCCAATATAATGTAATAATGCATAACATAATATCAGGAGTGTATAATATAGACTATATTATATATTCTATAGACTATTATCCACTCCTGATAATATAATATAATATAATATATGTTAAAAAATAATTAACTTTAAAATACATAAATTAGTTAATCTATTATTAATTATCTAAATTACATTAAGATAATAATTCGTAATTTTATCATTTGCAAAATTGGATGAATTTGTTTTAAAAAAAGGTTTAAAATGGGGAAAATGATTTGACTTGCCTGTCTGCTGTCTCTCCCTCCTCTCTAGTGCATCTATTCGCTCCTGAAACATCTTCCCCAGCTCAGCATCACCTCCTCCTCCTCCTCGTTCATCTTCTCCTCCTCCTCCTCCTCTTCCCCCTTCTCCTCCTCCGCTGTTTGCTTCTACAGCTCCTCTTCTTCCTTTGCCTTCTTCTCCTCCTCCTCCTGCTCCTTTTGCTCCTCTTCCCCCTTCTCTTCCTCTGTTATTTCCTTCTCCTCCTCCTTCTCCTCTTCCTTCTACTACTCCTCCTCCTCCTCCTCTTCCTCCTCCTTCCCCTCCTCCTCCTCCTCCTCCCCTTCCTGCTGTGTAGAAGTCTTGCAGCATGTGCCAGCGGTCGCGCGGCGTCGCCTGCACCACGCGCCGCGCGAGTTCCTGCGTAGAGAGGTCGAGGCTGGCGGCCATGTCCGCAAAATGCTTCCTGCGTATAGAAAGCGACGCCGAGTCGCGAGTTATATAATAAATTAGAAGGGTGCCGGTCATGAAGATCTGTTGATTTTCACTTGCTTGGATTACGCTACAAAGGCTATTATTATATACATTATATTGCGATATATTGTTACACACGTATGCTATAATATATATATATATATATATATGCTATATTCTGGATATAGATGCATATATCTCCGTCGTTTTCACGGCAATTTTTATGCGAGTCACCACGACTATTCTTAACACCGAAAACCAACGTTCGGAGTTCGCCCCATTGACCGCTAACCTCTTAACGGCCTGATATATAGATAACTTCCATATTAAGGATATATATATATATATATATCCGTCGCTTTCACGGCAATTTTCATGCAAGTCACCGACTACCCTTAACGCCATCACTAAAAAGCCGACCGTAAACCAATGTTCGGAGTTTGCCCCAAATTGACCTCTGACCTCTTAACGGCCTTGGGCGTCTGCCCGAGAATGACCGTGCGCTTGCCGACCCGCCGCGTCTCCTCCTGGCATGGGGAGGGCTCCCTCTTCCTCTCCCTCGGACGGCTCCCCCTCTGAGGCTTCACCAGGGAAGCCACCCTTCTCTTGGCAGTTTCCTCCTTCCTCTTCTTCTTCTTCGGCGGCGTGTCTCCGTCACTACTCGAGTCTGTGGACTGAGTAGTCGGCGGCGGAATTAATTAAATAAAATAATTATGCGATTAATTTAACGGGGAATTATAACGAGTGTCGCAGTGATTTGGTGAAAGATCTAATGTCAGTAATATGTGATCATCAGTCATGCAATAAAATAAAAGTCAATAAAATAAAATAATTATACGATTAATTTAATGAGAAATAACAAGTTTCTTAGTGATTTTGTGGGTGACGTAATTAGGGGGTTACTAAGGCACGAAGGGTCGTTGTCGTATCAGGTACTACATATATGTACCCGAGGTAGTTTTAGGTTGTTTAGTATTATGTTTATATTTTTATACGAGGTATGTTTAGGGTTAGCGTTAGGGTTAGCTTTAGGGTTAGGGTTAGGGTTAGAGTTAGGGTACACTTCTGTAGTACAAGTCTGGTACAGTTTGTCTATACATAATATATGTACCTCGGGTACATATATGTAGTACCTGATACGACAACGACCCCTTCAGCGTAAGTAACATTGTGGCTATTATAACATTGTACTATAATTATAAATGGTATTAATGTTGATTACGTGTTGGTGAAGAGGCAAAAAATTCATTGAAAGTTAGAGAAAGGAGAGTGAGTCGGATACAAAGAAAGAGTGAGAGAGAGAGAGAGAGAGAGAGAGA